CTCGTAAAAACATCGAATTTACATATTTTATGTAGGTACCTATGTTACAAAATTTAAATAAACATCGGTTGTGTTTTGTGTTACTATTTTGTTGCTTACCAGAAAATATACCTATAACAGTTACCAACTTTAACATAAACATCGTTAATTTGCTTTTTTAATAGGATGAATCCATAATAATTACAAACAAATGTTGCTTCTGCTTCAGACGGTTCATTCGATTCGAGGAAGCCAAAAATAATAATAACCACTGAAAATAATAAATTAGCACAGTTTGTTCCACATTGAGTTCTTCGTCGTTTTCGTACGATCCGTTTTTAAATTTCACAGTTTTTAAAGAATGTGTTTGTTTGCGCCATGTGTTAATGTGTGAGTTGTGAGTGTTGTGTGCCTTAAATTGAACATCATATCTATCAAAATTATACCTAGCCATGAAATTGGTTTTTATTCGTTCTAAGTACCGATTTACCTACCTGATTTTACTTTTCAATAATAATTGATTATGTCTTTAACATTATTTATAAGCGATGTTGCAGACGTACTTTGGATCATAATATTATCATAAAAATATAATTCAAAACAAAAGGGAACAACATTCATATTTTTTCGAACCCCATCAAATAGAGCGGTATTATAAATGGGGATTAGAAATGATAACTGATTTGATTTAGACATGCGATCAAAGTTTTATTGCTCAAGTCAATTAAGGCGTCGTAGTGCGTTTTGATTGAGGATTAGAAACTTGATAATAATAACATGGGTAGGTAAGCTCATAGTAGAAAAAGTGTACCTACCAGTGGCACGTGGCGTTAAAGTTCAATGAACTAGAAATTATTATCTTTACATTTTATTCTTACTCACATAGTGTACTTATATATAGTTAAGAAAAGTAGAATAGAAACGTTCATAAAAGTAAGGTAGATCAAATATTTCGCACAAAGAAGTGCTAACCGAAAGTTCCAAATTCAATTGAAAAATTCCACAACAACAATCTCAATATATGTATAACCATAAAAATATAAAATAACAATAAAAAAATCTCAAAAATATGAAAAAAAGTATTGGAAAGGAAATTTTACAGGTAATATCATCGTTCCAGTAACAAGTAAAACTAAAGCGAAGTTAAAGTATGGTGTTCTAGTTTCTATCGCTTACTTTATCGATTTTTCCCTCCACTTCGCATAATGGTGTGTCGCTACATAAGTATATGTAGACATAAGTCACAATTCAACTGGCGATGTATAAACAAGTGGCTGGCCAGACTACAGTGAATTAAATTGGTCCCACAACTGTGACATCTCCGCTCAATCAATTACACTGACCTAAGTGTCTTCTTATATCACGCATTGGGTGAATGAACAGAGAACTGCAAATTCTCAATATAGGAAACTATAGTACCTTCATTTAATGGACTTGAAGTGAATCAGGAATAGACTGATTTCTCTGTTTTCTGAGCAAAGAAAGACATGCGAAGAAAGCTTTCAACAAAGGACTGCCTTTTACACTCAGGACTGCTTATAGTTTCAAAAGAATTATTCTTTTAAGATACTTACCTTATTTGCTAGGTATTCGTGCGTCATACTTATGTACATAAATGTTTATTAAGTGTTTGGACTCTTATTTGGAATTTTAAACGAATTTAAGACTTGTGGTGCCCTACATTTAGTTTTGAAAGAACTTATTTATACACATGATGGCACAAAAGATTTTGACTCTACATATAGTTTGTACCGTCGCAAACAATAAGTACCTATGCTATAATCCATCTGCTATAAAATTCCTAATCGAATGCGTGAAGACATTCATTCATGTGTTGCTTCATGAAGCTATGCAAGAACCTACATGATTGCCTATTTAAATAGAACCATGAGTAGGTACGCATAACGCTTCTTGTTGTTTAGATTTTATTTCCTTTCAACACATTGAAATTGTTAATATAGTTAACATTGACGCATACGCGTGCCTCCTACTGCCAATGTAATCACGCTAATTTTAGCGTTGATGTTTAGTAAGCCCTTCGTTATCCACTAAGTAGGTAAGTAGATTTGTAGATAGCATTTTTTGTATGAAATAACAATGAGCGTGCGTAAAAAAATTTTTATGGCCAAAAAATCAAATTACAAACGACGGCTGTGTCGTGACAGTTGGTTACGGTGACTGAGCATGGTCGCAGTCTGTTTTACAAGTTTCCATTTGCCACCAGCCACCAGGCCACTGCATTCACGAACGAACTTACTCAATTGCAATTCACAAACGTTAATTTCGCCCTCTATCACATTCACATATTTCGTATTATTTTTGTCGCATTAGGTACTTGTTATTTTCGCAGTGTCATGTCACACAGTTTCGCCAAAATTCTTGCCATCGACCGCCGCCGTGCCCTTTTTAAACAACCTTCTGACACGCAAACCGAAATATGTAATATTACTTACATTAAGCTTTATTGTTACGATGTACGACAAAAATAGATTGATTGGTTTAATTATTTTATGTGCCGTCTTACTTATGTGTATTTTTGATAGTGTAGCTGAATGTCGCGATCGATTATTGGCGAATACTGAATACAATTTTGAAACATACCTACTTTCTTGTTAATTATTTCTTGTCAAATATAGGTATGGCAAAAAAATTGGAATACAGTAATTCCAATTTTTTTCTTTTAAAGTATCTACCTACCCATTTTTCAACTAACACTTGATCCAAGTTCTACTCATCATTAGACCTCTTGGTATCTTCTAGAAAACTAGTAGGTACCTAATAAATTATCCTACTAACAAATGGTAATTAAACGTGAAACTTGCTATGATTAGAACTCCTAGTCTTTAATTAGGTACACTTATGTAATTTAATATCATCAGTTAAAAAAAATGTTATCCGAATTGGCGGTTTGCCACAGGCAAAACATCTGTCATGTGAAAGTATGGGACGGTCATGTTTATGTTTACACGATCGTAACCCAGTTACACAGAACGATAATACGATACCCTTTTGTAAGACGCGGCGCCGAAATATCGTGAACCCAAACAGGCCATGGTTGACTGATTGACCCCCTTGAGCCATGCGTTACGAAATAAAAGAAAAAAATACCGCTAATGTTCTTTCTAGTTCGGAAATCGTGATTGTTTAAATATCGAATACAGTTGAAGTGTTTACCTTGGCTCATTAACTTGTTATGAATAGAAATAAGTGGTTTATAGTAGGTATACAAACATTATTGAGTAATACCTCGTAGGAGGTGTGTTCTGTGTTAACACAGTGTAATCACAGTGGGTAAATTCACCACGCACTACATAGGTATATATATATATATATATATATGTACTTTAAATTAATTGTTTGTTGTGTAGTTAAAACTATGTAAGACGAGGTCGTACAAAGAAGTTGTTGGTTACCTACTAAGTAAGTAAGAAGTTAACTTAGTAAGTAGTAACTAAACAAGATCACGAACTAAAAGGTAGGTAGGTATCCATTCTGTGACAATGACAGCACGACCTCAGATAGATAAGCTCTCACAACTAATATACAGATCTACCACGCAAACCATCCAACAAGAATAAATGACTAATGTTATATTTTTAAATGTGATGTCATTTCATATCACTGTATTGAGAGAAACTTGCAAAAAGTAGAGCTCAGAACAAGTATTTAGAGTTAGTGTCTGTCTAAGTTTGTGTATGCAACTTTCTCTTTTCGTATTAAAACCCCTATTTAATCTTTCTTAATTTGTATGGTCAATACATTAATTTACAACTTGAACGCGATATAGATAAAGCCAGTATTTTGCAGGTTTTGGAGGTACTCTGATCCAAGTCATCCATTCTTTTTACAACTGCAACTTCACGTCGAGATGTTTATAAAGTTAGTTGGACGGATGTTATGCTATTGGAAATATATAAACAAAAAGTTATAAAAATTGCTAAGAATGAAAAAGATCCCGATTATGTCAGTAAGCCCTATGGGTAGTTAGTAGTTACAATTTTAATGAGCATCCGGCGCGCACGTAATCGCGATGCTTAGTGAACTTTTTACGATCCCGTTTGTCCACTGTTTCTGTTAGGATGAGATCATTGCAAGAGTCATCTCATAGCATCTATTTTAATGCTATAACAGTTGGCATTGGTTGTGTCACCACCAGACGCCGGTGATGTAGGCGTTTAAATAAGTGGCCGTGGCCCCGATTTGCTAAAACGCTGCATTGCATTTGTTTGTTTGAGATTTTTTCTGTCTATCAATCCAAATATTTCTACTATCTGAATTTGAAGAATCTTATGATGTATTGAACCATTGCGTACTTATTTCTACACTAGCTTTCGCCCGCGACTCCGCCCGCGTGGACTAATATTTTTCGTATCCCACGGGAACTGCATATTTTTCCGGGATAAAAAGTAGCCTATGTGTTATTCCAGACTATTATCTACCCCTGTGCCAAATTTCAACCAAATCCATTCAGGAGTTTTACGTGAAAGAGTAACAAACATCCATACATCCATACTTACAAACTTTCGCCTTTATAATATTAGTAGGATAGTAGGATTCTTTTTTTCAATAGCATGCATAAACTATGTGCTAAGTATCATATATGTAGGTACATAGGTATATCGTAAGTTTGATTTCTAATCTCACAACAATCACAAGCCTCTAATCAGCGAACAAATAAAAAATATAGTTGAGCCACTTAGCTAACCTACAACGAAAATACCTATCCAAAAACTACGTCAATCCATATTATGGATACCCATTTCCATAACCTCATGTGGGTATCATTTGAGTCCTTACTTTAATTACTTAATACAAGAAGAGGTACAAAGGTACCTATAACAGATTTCTGAAACATATTCATATCCTGTGCACCTCTCATCGTCTCCACCTCATAATAATATTCCCTTAATCCTCGTTTCTAAATTAGATAAGATAGGTACTCAGTTTAATTAGATTATACCAAGACCAACAAAAGAATTATCGACTATTATCAATAACAATAGGTATCGATTTTGTTCCAGATCCAAGATGCCTGAATAACTGATTCTACTAATAAAACGAAAAGAAAAACCACGAAGATGAAACAACTCGTCAATAAAAACCTTATTACGCTAAAATGCGTACTCTTCTGTTTTCTTTCGGGTAAGATTTCATTAAAGTAGGTACTGTATTATTTACTGTAGGAATCATCATCATCAACAGCAACAGTCTAGGAATTAGTGCCCAGTACCTACTGGGTGAAAACCTTCTCACACAGTTTGGCGGCGTTAATTACTGTTCAAAACTTCGTTAAATATTGCCAAAATAAACTACCTACATCTTGCTGACCTACGTAAACTAATTGTTAGTCAATCAAGGTCGACAATAGACCATCGTCCTAAGTTTCATAAATTTTAACTAAGAATCAAAATAATACATATTAGTCTCCATTGTCAGTGGTGTAAATAGTCTTAGAAAGAACATACATAGGTACCTATAACTAAGTAGGAAAAAGGCACATTGGTAGGTACTTGCAAGTTTCCTACAAGACATTCACTTCGAAACACTTATTCTAAGTATGCGAGATTCTATACAGAGAATCAAAAACATAATCAGTCAGTACCTTTAAAGAAATTAAAATCTACAAAAACATTTTGACGATTTGACGAGACCACCATGCTCGGAATGCCAAAAATAAGATTTCGCGTAGAGTAAATTTTCCAACTTGACATGTCCAAGTCCAACTATATAGATACGTAAGCCGTAATTTTACATACAACCTAAGCTAATTACTGCTGGTTACTGCAGCCGAAACGTACATACATGCGAAGAGTTCGTAGAAAGACTTCCCGATGTTATTTTCATAGGCGTGCAAACCGTTCGCTCAAATGACAAGGCAGCCATTCGGAAAGAGTTTACTTACAAACTCTTCACCTAGGTAAAAATGACTTGGCCGTTTTTTTGCTATTACGAACTTGAATTAAAATGCAGTAAATATATTCTGTTAAGTCTGGACGTGTAGAGTTTAAACTTGGCTGTACGTATCTTATTCTTTATTGACAGAAAAAAAAACAAAATATTTTTTCGAATTTCCAATTGTCCTGATCAGGGAAAACAAACGTCTAAAACAGGTTTAAAGTTCTGCTTCACAGTAAAAATCTTAAATTGTAAATCGTTTCGTGGTACTAATAAATAAGGCACACATGTTTGCTCCTTTCTTGGGCAATGTAATAAGAACAAGATTGTCTCTGGTCCCAGTTGACTCTATAAAAAGTGGTCCAAGACTTCAAGTCATCACGGTTAGGTAGCGGGAGGCCAATAATTCAAGACGGTCAGTGCAAGCTGCCTTCTAAGGAGCGACGAATGCTACCTATCGAATGATTTAGGGACCGTTCACCTCGGACTTGCCACTGCATTGCGGCCAGCATGACCCATATGCTCCTATTTATTCTCAACTCCTTCATTCAGATGTTTGAAGCACGCAATTGAATGCTTACTTAGATGTTCTTTTGTGGCAAATTAATAAGTTAATAGCTCGTCATGACTGTTTCGTTAATTGCGGTATGTGTTCAATTAATTAGACCTCGTAAGCTTCGAGTTTCTTTTTGCCAATGTTTTAAGTACTTAAAAATCTTAAAATATAAAATTTTGTTTTATTTTCCTAGGCATTGGGTGTATCTTCCCGTTTCTACCACTGCACATGCTGTCAGTGGGTCTAGACAAGGGAGAAGCCCGGTTGATATCAGCTGTCGCGCCATGTATAGCCTTGCTAGGTCCTGCCGTGTTGGGGCCTCTCATTGATAAGTAAGTATTATGGAGTAGTCATCCATTGTTCCATATTCGGTATACAAGGTTTGATCTACATTGTTGCGGTGGTTATCGACGTGAGAAAGTTTTAAACAAGCTTTAGAATACAATGTTTTTGTCGTGACTTAAACCTTATCTAAAATTGATAATCAGAACAATTAAATTTTCTCAAAAGTGTTTTTGTAACTATGACTTTGATGGTATTCTAAGGTGTGTAATTTGTATGCAGACTGTCAGTTGGTAGAGGGTCAACTGGCGGCGGCACCAACCCGAGTGGCTCCGGGCGACTACTGCGAGTCATCACAGCTGCCTGCCTCATCCTCAGCGCTATTTTCTACACACTCCTCCTTGCAGTACCTTATACGGAACGACATGAGGTATTATTGCTAACATTATTGATCAATTACGGTTCCAAACAAAATCCTTCATAATTAGGTATCCTACCTAGAAATCTACAAAGAAGGGCACAGGTGGGAATTGTAAAAATTACATAATTTACAGGTAAACTTTACTGACTACTAAAACAGCCTTACCATTTGCTACATGTGTAATCCATTAATGTGTAGTTAATCCGTGGTAATTAGAAGGCTTCATTGAAATATCTAGCTGCTAATAAAACCGCTCAGACATCCTAGGCAAGTATCTCAATGCTAATTTCGTCTATGAACGTGACGCACTTTTTGATCTACTCAGTATTTAAGTAGAAGTATATTTTTCAATCTTGTCTAATTACTTCCCACATTAATGTAATCTTATATATAAAAATGGATCGCAAAATGTGTTGGTAAGCGCATAACTCAACAACGCCTGGACCAATTTTGCTAATTCTTTTTTTGTTGTGTTTGTTATTGTCAGGAGAAGGTTCTTATACAAGAAAATATTAGAAAAGGGGAGGGGAAGATTAGGAAAAAGTGACCCTCTGATAGCGAGATAATTGGACCCGTGCGAAGCGGGGGCGGGCCGCTAGTGTCTAGATAAATAGAAGTAAAAACTTGAATATGGATTTGGTGTTAGGAAGTGAAGAACGAGCCTCCGGTAACCTCACTACACGACAAACACAACGTATGCGTTGATTCACACCGGTCTTTTGTGAGGTCATAGTATCATCACTCTGGTCCAGCTGGCCAATTTATCGTGAAGTATGGCTATTTCAAACTTAGAACCTTTAAATCAAATAGAGCTTAATAATAGTCTCGATTTCCTCCAAGTTCTATCTTGCTTAAATCAAATTCCCTATCACCGTCACCAAAAAAACATCTGAAAAGTCGAAATGAAATTTACCACCAAGATAGATAATAGTCTACAATAACACATACTACAATTGACTCTGGTACTCCTAGACGAAGCCGCTGGCTAACTGGTTTCATTACAAATTTATTCAAGTCTATGGTGTTTATGTAACTGTATCTCACAGGCTCGACGACCTGAAGTGCTCTTCATGTGCGATGAAGACAGTGCTTATGTCATGCAAGAAGTATGTAAGGAGGACATGCGCTGCAACCGGTGGTCTGGCGAAAAGGTCAGTTGTCTTATTTAAACAGGTTACATTGGAATTGGTTACAATGAATATAATATTAAGAAATATGAAGGTATGAACATATAGGAATCGAAAGAAGTACCTAGATAAGGCAATGTAACAGTTTTTGCTTTTTTTGAGGGAGAACTCACCCCATTCCTTCTCCTGCTCCAGACTGAGGCCGCGGTATATCACTGCGCTTAACTCGCAACCCTGGAATGAAAATGTGCCCATTGAAATTATTATTTTTTATTTGAATGGGCGGCACACGAGCATACGAATTACCTGATGGTAAGCTATCAGCGCTGTTCATGGACACCCGCAACAACGGAGGCGTTTCGAGTGCGTCGCCGACCTTTTGGGGATGAGGGATTGGAGATTTTGGCATTGGGCCTTTGCATCATAAAGTTCCGATTAATTGGTATAATGGCATGTATGTATGCAATCGTTACACGTATAGATATCATTATTTTTTTGCAGTCAGGAGTGCTGGCTGTGACAGCGTGTGAATATGGGTGTGCGGACGAGAACATGACATGGGTGAAGCAGCCCTTCACGACTACATCTACCACCACCACACTCAGCCCAATGTACCTCAATGTTGCCAACGCTACGGTGAGTTACAGCTATCTGGTAGTCGATGAAGTTATCTACTGTCGCTTTAGCCAAGCGCACAAGTAGACCTTCTTCAAAATTGCAGTTTCTATATCTATCTAAAGAAAATCTATTTAAAAAATCTTTAATTTTCGCTATAAATGTATCAATGTCTTAATTAATAAAATTTACATTATAGTAGGTACACAAATATTTATATTTAGTAGGTTCATATAACAATTCGTAAAGACAAAGAAATATCTGTGTATCTCTGGGTGTCTTCAAGGCCCTAACGATGCCCTCTTAGGTTACTTATGGGTACTGCGTACTCCTTCGTAGGTCGCATTAACGCTTAGGTACCACCAGGCAAAACAGGGACCAAATTCTGGCAAAAAATAGGCCACTTCTGTACTATTTATGATGCCTAAGTTGAGGATAGTTGACAACATAAGTAGTAATAAGCTATTTCAATTTGAACTCATTCGCAGATTTATTCTAATTAGAGGCTAAAATGAGTTTCGTTTAGGATACGATAATGTTGCTAATTTATTATGTTTCATTGTTAACGCTACAAAATACCTATTCTTGCCTCCACGATACATACCGTATTATGTGTAAGTATTACTATTCTTGAAGCTTCTTCAACATACAATATGTAAAACTATGCAGAATATCAATAAGTCAATAACTGAGTAGGTAGCTTGCTCTTCCTCAATATTTTCTGCGGATACTCTGTTTTGTATCGCTACTAAATATTTGAAAGTTTGAGCTACAGGCACAGAAAGTAAAATAATATAAAGAATAAAAAGTTATAGTCTACTTTTTAAAATAGTGAATATATTTTATAAAGAACAACAGTCACACACAAGCTTTATTTTTACGTCTTTCATGTCATGTCTTACTTATGCCTCAGATTTCACTTACATTTTCAATAGACTTCGGCGCCAGAGGTCACCGAAGACGACGAAGTAAGGCATGCGATGCCGTTCGAAGTGAACCCTCCCCACTTCTGCTACAATGGCCAGTGTCTGGTCTACATGCAGCATCAGGCGAGGCTTCGCGTGCCTTTATCTTTAATAGCACCAGAATTACCTGAAGACAACAGCACATCAGACTCGGACTGGTGCACTTATCGAACAGGTAAATTAAAAAGTACTCGCCGTTGTTTTAGCTACCTGCTACCTATCTATTATAACCTACAGTCAGATAGCATCGCACAACCTTATTCAAAGTGAAGAAAACAATTAAAATTAAAGATTTATATTCCTCATTTATCGCTATTGTCTAACTCTTAACAAATAGCGCACGCTCTACAAAAAATCTGATTTCACTATAAGTTGATATTGTAAGTAATTCTTGAACGAAATTATTTCCCAAGATTAGGTACCTACTTACTTTCTTTATATTACCTACCTACTATTCTTACACACCTAATAGCCTCTGCCAACATTGCGTTTTGACAGAAGCTCAAAAGTCGGTATAAGTATTACAAAATTATAGAATAGTAATTTAAATTAACGTTCAATTACAGCGGGACCTTCAAAATGCCAAGTTCCTCCAAACCGTCTGGCAGAAGTCTCAGATGACGAGGACTGCAGGCCGGCGGTACGGTGCCAAGTCCTCGATCCCTACGATGAACCTGATGGTGTTTTAGCGGACGCTGAATGTCGACTCGTCATTGGAGATCCGAGTTATACGTTTTGGACTTACTTAATTATAAGGTCAGTTTAATGTATGTACGATACAAACTTACATATGCTTTTTATTTCAGTTTTTAATAATTGGTTAGGATAAAGTATAGGTAGTACATTTGCAAACAATAATATGTGTAAATATATTTTTAATAGACATTGTGTTTATTTATGATATCACGCTGTGATTAATGGAACTTTAGTTATCAATGACTCAAACCACCAACCAGTAAGTACCTACTCACTTGGTAGTTGGGTACCACTATGATGAGGTTCCCATGTAAGTACCAATGTAGGTTTATTAATTATGATATTATTAAGTACCTATGTAAACAATCAGATATTTCCGTTTGTACCTACCTAAGCCTAGTAAACATTACGACAGTTAGACGCTTCAACAAACTTTATTAAATTAGGTACTTATCATGTTTTTCGTCGTTTGTTCGTCGTGGTGGCCCGGAGATTAAGGCGCCCGCTTCTCATTCATGAGGGTGTGGGTTCGAAACCTGGCAAGTACCAATGTGACTTTTTCCGAGTTATATGTACTTTTTATGATTATTTAGACACCTCTGACATACGGTGAAGGCAAACATCGTGAGGAAACCTGGACTTATAATTTCTAATTATAAGTTTGAAATCGCCAACCCGCATTGAGCAAGCGTGGTGATTAATGCTCTAACCTTCTCCGTATGAGAAGAGGCCTTTGCTCAGCAGTGGGCACTTATAGGCTGATGATGATGATGATGATGACTTATCGCTTTTCTGCCTTATGACTTTTTACGACTATATATTATTTATTTGTTTCAGAATTTTATCGGACATCTGGCCAACAGCAGCGTTAGCTCTTCTTGGCACTGCATGTGTGATCGCGACCAGAGAAACGTCATTAGGACGAGGCGACGTCGGTCGACAATTAGCCTTCGGCACACTTGGGCTGGCCATCTTCCCTCCACTGGCTGGATTGGCCGCTGAGCAAATGCCCGATACACCATTCCTTATCCCATTTGTTCTTCACGCTGTATTCATGGGCATCGGAGCGCTCATTCTACTATTCGATAGGTGCGTAAACAGTAAACACACTAGCACTAAATTACTATGTCAAGAGTCTAAGCCGTTTACGACATTTAAAATTAGATCGCTAAATGTATTGAGAATTTCAAGAGTAGCATTAGGTACTAAACGATTTATTTACGTATTTTATGTGTCTGCTTACAGCAATGTAGGTAGGTACTTTTATAACTATGAATCACTAGTGAATGCCTTCGATGAATAGGAAGTGGTGATTTGCTTCACTGCATCTTTTGAATGACTCATCAGAATCTGTAGTACATAGTTATATTTTATTTATGCAAATCACTAGTGAGTATATGTATTATTAATGTAGCAACGAACAACTTACTGTTCCTTATTAGGTGACACTGCAAATATATGCCTATTAAGAATACAGATCACTGTATATTATGTAACTCGACTTAACAGATATAACTTTTACTTCGGCCTGGAGCAGGAAACGGACTGCTGGATGATGGTGTTTTAGTGGACGCTGAATGTTGACTCAAAACTTGGGGATTTTTCTCGCCATACACTGGGCGAGAGAAGTACTTTTAATGAATTTCCCTCCACAAAAAATGGATGCACCGCGATACGGACACGCCATAAGGCTCTCAGTGCCTCGTTATCTTATGAAAACATTTCCAATTCCAGTCATATGCCTTTGTCTACCCCGGAGTGGTGGTGGCACACTGCCACTGGCGTGCTGGCGATGCCAATGAACACGGTGCGACGGTACGGGGCTGAAACAGCTGCTGTTTTCGCTGTAGTGGCGCTACTAGGCACCTTATGGAGCGGCATCGACGCTTACTTGCCTTGGTAAGATAGTAAAATATTTCCACCAAAGAATACATTTTCAGTAAAAATGTAAGGTACCTAAGTATCCAATTAGGCTTTTACTGTATCTAGGTATTAACCGTATCTTAAAAAAGTACATTTTTCGTTGAGACCCAAGTAAAAGGAACTTGGGAACATAAACATGGCTTCAACAATTGGGAAAGCAGGTAAAGTTTTTTTAGGCGTTTCATACAATGTTGCATGCAAACATTAGTGTGCGTGAACTCACATAGCATCGCAAAAAAACTACTCATAGACAGTGTCGTTTGCCTCTAAAATCACAAACAGTTTTGTCTATGAAGGGCCTATATCTAAATGAAATATCGTACCTACTTGTTGCTGCTGCAACTATAAGTAATTTTAGTTTGTAGGCGACTTGGTGATTATTGTTTGTCGTATTTTTGTTTTAATAATACAAAACAATTTAGTCAGACAACCAAATTGATCAAATTATTAAATTGTACTCAACAGAAATATGCCGAAACTCTTTCGAGTGCTTGTAATCTCAACTATTAACATAGGTAATTATTTTCAGGACGGTCCAGGAGCTGAATGGCACGGTAACAGAAATGGGTTTGACGCTAACAGCGGGAGCACTACCCGCCGTGCCTGCCCTCTGGTGGGCCGAAGCTCTTGTGGACTACATTGGTCATTCCAATGTTTTCATCATGGCATTTACTTTTTACGGCATAAGATACACTGGTAGGCATATTTAAAATATGTTGATCGAACAAAATGATCTATGTGATTCTTCAAATACATAAAAACACGAATCAAAACTTGTAAAAATCATTATAATTACAAATATTGTATAATTATTGCCATATAGGAATATTTTATTATTTATTGAGTTAACTTCTCATAAATACGTCGTCACGTGTACCTTTTTTTCCTACATATTATTTTACCAAGATATTCAAAATGTAACACCAAAATACCACTAAAACATTCTGATAGGAAAACCGTTATTTTGAAATCATTCCCAACTTGTTTTTTTATAACTTCCAGGTTTGGCATACAGCACGGACTACACATGGGTGGTAGTGTGCGAGATATTGGAAGTATTCACGCTTAGTTTAGTGTGGGTGACCGCCGTGTTGTATTTCCGTCACCTGGTGCCGCGAAAATACACAGCTACCGGACAAGCTCTGCCGGTTATTGCTCATTTTTGTATTGGTACGTATCAATTTCTTTTGTAATTATTATTTTTTAATTTTAAATATTGTGCTGTAATATTTAATTCTAAATATAATATTATTTTGTGTTGATATATTAAAATGGCGTAGTGTAACATGTTCTTTGTTGTTTATTGTGTGACCAGGTCGGTGCATAGGTGCCATAATCGGAGGCATGGTGTCCTTACAACAGCCGTTGCAGGCGGTTCGCATGGTGTACCGATCCATGGGAGTAGTGGCGCTGCTGGTAGCGGCTGTCTACCTGGGGCTGTACCACCTGCTGCTGGCGCCGCGCTGTGCCGCGCCCGCTGTATCGCCACCACACCATCTCCTTCAAGGTAAGCAGTAACGTGACGTTCTATTCAGCAATATCAACGACGACCAGCTGACTGTTAATCACATCAGAAAATATTTTTTTTCTTGTTGGAATTTGAAGTGACTACTGCCATTTCATTTTTTTCGTGTGTCCGTTATAGCTCTTTGTGTAACATAATATATTGTGCTAACATATTTTATTTATTTCTAAAAGCTTGCTCTATTGATGGACAGCTTAACGCTAAAGGTATCTATGCTAAATGTGGATAAAATGGGTGAATTTCATAAAAAAATACGTCATTTACATCAACGCATGTTATTTAACGTTTTTTTTTTTTGAAACACCCTTAATTTAATTGCACTATATAAAAAGTAGTAAAAGTCTAGTAATTGCACTACAGTGTAAATGCTTTTCTTGTGGATAAGTTTTAACCGTTTGAAATTGTTTCAGTTCGACTAACGAATTACTAATAAGTGTACCCATTGTAATCCGTACGTACGTATTCATGAATTTCAGGTCTAAATAATACGAATGGAACTACTAACGGCACATACTCTCCAATGCGGGTGTACCACGAAGAACGTTCAAGAAAAGGCCACTTCCGTTATTGAGGATCATTAGTTGTAAAACACGTAACAAAGAATGACAAAAACTGTCAGTAAAAAAAATTAAGCAAATCTGTTTTATTATTCAAAAATGGAATAAACACCTATGTAAATTGCAGTTTTTATGATAACACCAAAACTTAAAATTTTTGAACATAGTACATAATGCCTATGTTTATCTGAAGGACAAAAACGAATTTTTTATGTTATTGTATAATATTAACATCAATGCAAATTGTTTTATTTTATAAGTGTTTTGTAATTCCTGTACCTAGCATAATGTAAGTGTGTCTATCATAATAATAAATTAATAATGCAGTGTGTATTGTGCCTATGTATTAAATTTAAGTATCAAGTCTTTTTTCGTCCCATATAATAATGTCTAAGCTTTAAACGCCAACAACGTGAAAACAGAGAGATTGCATGGTGCTTGTGTGAATGAAATTCAAGCTTGTGTGAGAAACAGGAAATTAGTAATAGGCCTTTGCATCCACATAGAATAGGTATTGATTGAGAAAGTGTAACGAAATATTTCCAATAATTGGCTCTAAATTTTTAGAGTTATGCCGTGGATTGCAGCTAAATTCTTATAAAAAATTGGTTTGTACTTGAAACGAGTACTAGTTGAGTTGCATTTCATAATATAGAATTTATGCAATCACGAATTTTATACAAACATAATAATTGTGATATTAAAATGCTTTTGTTTCAACATGTTTCCAATATTACTGTCATCATTTATTTATACTTTGTATCCAAACAAACGGATTACATATTTGCATTCATATTTTTTATAATAAAAGCTAAGTTTTTATTAATAAAATGATGTCACTGTCTCGATTTTTTATTTCACTTAAACATTTGCACTATTTATTTTGTACGAAGGGTTTTATTGTCACCATGGTTAAAAATAATAAGAATAAGATTTAGAAAATTTTAAAATGTAAATAACATAATTAAGGGCAACATAATAAAAAAAAACCTCTTATGTGAAATACAGTGGCGTTGTATTTCTGATATAAACAATTTACTTATACTGACAGACACATCAGATCAGAAGGCCTATCGACTATCACAATAACATTACATTAGCAAAAAAAACAAAAGACTCTAAATTTCTAAATGGCTTAACATCCATCGATACTTTTTTCTGAGCCAGATTTGTATTTACATCACATTTTTAGTATTAGAAAACAAGCGAGGAATTTATAACTAAATCCTATAAGTATAATGTTATACTATACAGCAGTTAAAATGTCAGTAAACTTATTTATACATACTTAGTTCCAATACTTAAAGGAATTATATGTTTACTATAGTCACCTTGTCTGATATCACAAAGATAATAAACTTAAATAATAAAACATACACTCATAAACCAAATACGAGTCAGCATCTCCTAACGAGATTCAACTTTCGATCTTTCGTTTAGAACTGATTTTTCATTTCATTCTTAGTCAGATAAAGATTATCTGAGGATTAATATTGTTGCTGTCACTGTCTTATACAAACATTAGGACGCGACACCATCATAATTATTCCCCAGTTAACTTTTATATAACCATAGAAAAATCAGCCCTAAGAAGGATTAAATTCGTATTGTTACGTAACAATAAACCAATCAGAATGGATGTTCTCAAGAACTTTTTTAACATAAAAAACTACATTCCCTATACAACTATATCGTAAACCTACATGTAATTTTAAATTTGAAAAAAAAAATACGCTTGTAGCTAATAATTTCAAATTATATTTAAAATAACTTATTGAATTATTAATTAAGTTAATTGTACACTATTACTGCTTCCAAATTCAATAGATTTAAAAAACATAAAAAAAAAAAAATCGTAAAACTGAGAAAGAAACTAGATTAATTTCCATTTGCATTTCAAAAAATATTGATCCTTTAGTTTGCAAGCATTTTAACAAATGTCATTCTATATTTTAAAAAGTATAGGGTAAAAAACAAAAGAAATGCGGCAATATTTCAACTTAGTATAAGGAGCACATTGTATATTTATGTGCTATGTAGCCAGTAGCCCGTTGCAAAAAGCGATTGTTGAATCTTGTTTGGAATACTATTGAAGTCACAAAAATTAATCTTCATAGTGCAAAGTCTAGGCGTGAAGCTTAGAAAAGCAAAAAAAAAAAGAACAAGTAACTGAATGGTACACATAGCTAGTTGTTAACAGGTGTACATTTTTTTAAAATATGAAATATGCTGCGGTTGACATTAATCAGTGTGCTATTAATTGGCAGAGTATAGAACTGTTTCAACAAGACATACTTGTGAGATTTGTGCCACAAATAGTTAACTAGTTATTCACTAACACATAATAACATATTGTAATCAGTTTTCAGATATACCCTAAACAAAAATGTACTACAATGACTTAGTTATAGACATCAATATTATTATTAGATGATAGACAACAATTAGGTGTAGTCTAAATGTTTCTGTACTTAAACAAATAAACAAAATGCCAACGAAAATGTTTGGAATTGCATTGCCATTTATAGGTTTTGTCATTTCCTTGTCTTGAATAGACATTTCTCATTAAAAAAATCCAGAGGAAATATTACAGGGCATCATCTTTTCCTAGCCTTTCCCCGCCTGACGACGAGAGGGATGGGAAATCTTTCTGTTTAAACCCAATCCTTTCCTTCTCCAGCTCTGGAGCCCCGGTACGTTAGAGACTTATTGGCCAATATAAGAGCATAATAGGCAATAAATAGGTCACACAAAATTTTTTTTTTCAAATTCCACAATAGCATGCAATAAAAGACTTGCAAGATTTTTACTGTGTTTTAATATGAATAGCTGCATTATATTCGTCTAACTTGAGCATTCATTGAGATATTTTCCATTTGTTAACAACGATTTGTAAGATTCAACATATAATTCGATAAGCACTCAGTCTGTTTAATAGTTTTAATTTGATTAAATGTCATTGAATACCAACAAACAATTGTAAGCTATAATGTATAGTTTGTCTATAAACTGCAGACTGACTCTATTATTAACTATCGACGACTGTAATACTATACAAATCGAGCGCCACATGCTTAAAATATTGAAGAACGCACTCAAAACTCAGATAACACAGTTCACTCATTATGCAGGTTAGTGAAAAAAAATGTTTACTTTCATTTTGGTATTTTTTCCTATACGAAACATGGTTAGACTTTTAGATCCAAGAGACATTAAAAAATAATGTATGATTTGATAATTAAAACAATTTTCAACATTACTTCCGTGCATTTAAATAATGTATTTGTGTAAATAAGTATAATAGATATCGTATTTCACATGTATAGTGTCTAATTGTTTTCTTTATCTACATAGAAGTTGGCTAAAAAATACAGAGAAGTATTAAAATTTTGACCAGTTCCATTTATGTACTTATATACCTAGCTTATATGTATTTAAATATTACTTATCTTAAATAAGATATAAAAAGTTTTTTAGGTTTCTTCTAACATTTCAGAAGAATCTACATTTTTCGAACTGGATCCCTGTTCATCTCCTACATCATCTTTTAACAATGTTTCTATCATCTCTTCACTCATTTCAGTATCATGCAGTCTATCATCACTATCTTGGTTATCAGCCTTATCATTTAAATCATTATTATTTATACAATCCCCCTTGTCCTCAGCTTCCTTATTAGAATTCTTTTCACCCTCATCTTCGTTTTGTAGACCATTCCTTTGATCTTTTTGATTTTCTTTACATTCAATTTTTTTACTGTTTGAATCCTCCGAATCTTCCTTGTCTACTTCGTCAGTTTTATTTTTTTCTGTATTGGAGTCAGTTTCTGTATCCTGATCAATGTTATCTTTTGGTTTTACTCTGTTATTTTCTGTCTCAGTAGCAGTATTACTCTGTTCTTTAATATTTTCAGGTTCCTTTTCATTATTATCCGTATCAGCACTATCCTGATCAGTATTTCTAATTTCTTTTTTTACTTTCATGTCTTTTTCAGTTTTTTTATCTATGTTACTATTCAATAATTTCCTCTTTGCATTGCTTTGCATCTGAATTGCATTTACAGGGACATTTACCTTGTTATTTTTGTGACTTATAACTGCTAGTACATCACTATGTTCATTGTTTTCATTGTCATTTAAAGGATCAGTTACACTTTTTGAAAAGTTGTCACTTTTATTATTTTCTTCACTATCATTATATTCACTACCAACACTTGTTAAATCTACCTCTTGATTTTCAGAGCCATTGATAGATTCGACGGAATTTTCGTCTATAAATATAGGATCATCATTAGCTTCCATATCTGGTAATATTTCAACGTCATCATCATCTTCACTATTACCACCTGACTTGCGTGTCAGATACTGTTTAAAACCCTTATTCAGGTTTTCACGAATTTCATTAAATCTACTAGAGGATGTGTTTAGCAATCTTTCCAAACTTCTATGAAGAGTACGCATTTCATCCACTGTTCTAGTACGCAAGAAGACAGTAGTAGCTTCTTTTTTCAATTTAGTAAGTCTTGGGAGAGCATACTCCAAAGCATCAACTGCATCAATCAAATTGTATCTATACCATTCTACTGGAACATTCAAATCGCAATATCGAGATTTTAAAGTACCAGGAGATTTAATTTTGGATATAGTAGCTTTTGGTGTGCTACGTTTTAATATGCGAGGAACGTTACGGATTGTTTTAGGAGTGACAACAGGTGGAGTAGCAACTGAGCTGAGTTTAGCTGCATAAGTGGCGCCTTTCGATATAGTTTTCCCGCTTGTTTCGGCGACGGCTACTATAGTAGCGGAATACCCGCCTGGCATAGCGGGATTTGGATTAATAGCAAAAATACGGCCATCTGGTAGGCGATACATCTTATTTGATGATAAAGTTTGAGGGTCTACACGGAATTTTAATCCACCTGTGGCTGTGTTCACAGTCACATCGTTATCAGTCATTTGAACAACATTATCTGATGTTACATCCACTGGGTTATTTAAAACACGTGGTACTAAAGGAGGAGGGTTGCTTATCTTTGGTGGAACAACAGGGCCTGGTGTGATGCATTGCACATCATCGTCATTGTCCTCAGTAACCTATAACAAATTAATAAAATTAACAAAAAGAGTAACAAGTTTGATAAAATAAATTATAGAGGTCTGATTAATTACAAATTATCTACATGAAAGAAACGGTAAAAAAATTAGCCCGGATTTGTTTTACTTTCATAGTAAAGCAAAATTTTTAATTAAAAACTTACTAAATTTTTAATGTAGGCGAAACCTAATCATAAATATTAGACTTTACAGAGGCGTTAGAATTAACTAGCTTTCAAAAGATCTGAATAGCTGAATAACTATGAAGTGTACACCACTTCTATTATAGGTGCTAAATAACATCCACTATTGCAAGTTATGTTATGGACCTGAAAAATATTATATTCAAAGGACAATGCTAGAAGATTGCTCCCTTTTGTACTATTGTGTGCTTAATTAGAATAATAATCTGAAAAAATATTTGTTTGCATGAAAGTAATTTCTTCTGTAACAGATATCTAATCTCGTAATAATGGATTTCTCCTAACTAACTTAGGCGAAAATGGTTTCCAATTATAAAAACGCTGTCATTACTATTAGTCTTCTCGTGTTTAGTACTTCCCTCACAAAACAAGACTTGCCAAAATCTCAATTATACTTTATTAAGGGTTGATTTTTCAATAGTCGGATATATGTTATCCGAGGAATAAAATTGTTGCTGTCACTGTCTTATACAAACATTCTGACGCAACAGTATCATAATTAATTCCCAGATAACTTTTATTTAATTATTGAAAAATCAGCCCTAAAAGTAATAGTTCCTACTTAGAGCAACTCTTACCTCACACAAAGGTTCCAGTGGAAAGTCCGGAGTGCATACAACGTCGTCATTTTGTGAATTACTGCCTAAACCAGTCACAGCTGACATGTCTAATCCCTGTAATAGAACATAACTATTTAAAAGCCCTTTACCATTTTCATATGATTTCACTTTTTCTATTTAATGACCTTTGACGTGAAAATTCAAATCATGTGATGTCATACTATAAATCTATATATAAAACTCCTGGGTGCCCTGAACCATTCTCACATAATTCATCAGATTCTTTTGTGTGGGATGGGTAGAGACACTAGCAGATTGATCACCGGATATTAAACAATCAGTGCCACCTATGGGCACCTGCCACTAAAGGAGTTACAAGTGCATTGCTGGCTTTTTGTAGGTTGTTAGGGATTTGAAGATTGGGGATCTGTGGTGCGTACTCACTCACACTAAGAAATACCACAAGGCATTGGTCATACAAGTATGCTAGTTAATTGTGCTTATGCATATTAGGATAAAAAGACAATAAACTTACCTGAGTTAGACTTTCTATTGATAAATTAATATTATCATTATTGTACATAGTTGGATTAAAACCATTAAAGTTGCTGTTACCAATAACTGTTTGAGGTGTTTTAGGCTTCAAGCGAGTATAGGTTGCTGGTTTGTTCTGGTCATTTATAACTCTTAAGGAACTGCTTACTATTAGTGAAGGCAACTGCAACAAGTTGTTTTACTTTCTTAAACAGTAATAAAGTGAAATAAACATTATAGAGAAAAATAATGATATTTGGTGCTTTCACTTCTACTAAATTATTTTGAAAAGCATTATTTCTATATGCTGACACTACAGTGAGTTGAGAAAAGCTTTATATTGGTGCAGAATTTACTTTTTGGGACTATTAACTTCGATAGAAACATGTATTTACGTTGGGATATTGTCTCTTGTGTAATCTATTTTATACAATGCTATTTGAAAAAAAAAGCACAAAAGAATTGATTTGAGCAAGGTAGTTTTTATATATTTTCCTAACCAATGACCTAGACCATAAATTATAATAATAATATTTATGAAGTAAAAATATCATATCATACCTTCATCTTTTTTGGAAGAGATGGTAAATTTATTGGGTTTAGTAACTTCGTGTTTGGCGCAATACTTATAGGATTCTTTACTAAAACTGGTTTGTTTTTGGGACTTAAAGATCTCTTTTGGGGCTTTTTCTCTTGTTTCACTTCATCCATACTTACAGAGGCAAACTTTTTGACCTGGGATAGAAAACCAAATTAGAACCAGCAGAAAATTTGCGCTAAAATATAGCTATCATAAGGTATATTAACTAGATATCAATTAGTGTGGATCAGAAAGGAAAATATCTCATCTTAATTCAATTATCTTGCCAATGGATTTAGAAGAGCTGCCAAACTGGTACTTTGTTACTCAAGGTTAAGTTAGGACTTATGAGATAAAACAATATAAGATAAACATTAGCATACCTGTATTGTTGGTGAAATTTTAGATAATAGGTTAGAAGTAGCCTTGGGATCTATGTTTGGTTTTACTTCTGATTCCTTCTTGATTTCCTTCCGTTTTGGGGTTTCTGTTTTCTGATTTCTCTTTGATTTGCTTTTGCAGCATTCAGAATAATCTATAGAGCAATCTTTTTTATATGCTTCCTTCAATTCTGGATCTTGAGCTTCTTGTGCCATTCTGTAAAGTAAAATCAAGTATAAATAAACATAATTCATATTGAAAAATGGGCAGCTGTAAGGTATTAATCATTACTTATTTTTGAGGTCACAGAAACGTAAAACAGCCCAACATAGTGCACGAAGGTCCCATAGACATTTAGTATTGCATTTAAAACATTTCCAATCATCTGCATTTTCAATTTCTTTGGTTTTTGATATTCCTAGATTGCGCTTCACACATTTCTGTAACATAAAGTTTAAAAAACATGTACTTTAAATGATCTGAAAGTCTGTCATATCCAACCATACCTATATCCTTTTATAAAAGTTGAAAGTTTGTCAATTTTCTGTTCAGCCCAAATAAAGATAATGGCCCAATATGAAGTTCAGGCTAGGGACTTGGCGGGTAAAAAAATATAAGTAACTCAATAATTATTAACAATTATTGTGTGTGAGTACAATAGCCATACTTCATATAACACAGTCATCATAAACATAATATTTTAAGTATTTGGTATTTCAATTCACTGAAGATTTAAGACACTTATTGGTGTATCTTGATATATCAAAACTGTTGTAACTTTGCTTTCTATATTTTATTCACATATTTATCACTCAAATCAATAGAAGGTTCATACCGCACAAAACACATGAGGGCAGTCAGAACAACAATAAACTTGTCCACCTTGACCACACCATCTACAATACAGTTCAGAGCCATCATCACCCTTCTCAAATTCTCCACTGTTGTAGAAGATGTGACAATTATGGCAAACGAGAGTACGTAGCATTGGATGAGCACGCATACGAGATTCGTTGCGTGCTGCACATCCTAGATGACGATCACAAGCTGTACAATGTAATTTCATAGCTTTAACAGCGTTAAGGTCTGAAATATAAAAAAGTCAATTAAAATTACTTTAAATTTAAATCTCTAAATTCAATAATTAAGTAAAGAAGATTATTTACCTTTGAAAACAGTTTTATAGTAGCTTCTCTCTTCTTCGTCAATATCATCATCAAAGTCATCATCATTAGGATCTAGAATTGAAAGAATGACCAATATTAGGGCTCTCTCTTCTCTCTCATCAGTGTTTACAATGTTTCCAGGAATCTTATTTGATTTATTAGCACATACCTGGGAAAGGCGGGAATATTACACCGTCATTCGAAACCGGCTTCTCAGACTCGGAAGCGCCTTCACTGTTGGCAATTTCGCTCATTGTGAAAGTTAATATTCATTCACCAATATAGCGTTTCTAACTATTTTATTTCTCTTTCAAGCACATATAATATTTCCAAAAGAATTTAAACATGAAAAAATGCCTCGAATTACACAGAGAACACTTTTTATTAGAATTTTTATAGAATTGAAGTTAAACTCGCCATCTTGGACGATCCTTTATTTCCCTTTTTTCTTTATGTCTGTTTTGTTTTTAATAGTGATGTCCATGTCGTATCCATAATACCATAGACATTTCAATTCAACCTTTAGTAAGACTTCTTTGCAAACGCGCTAAATAATGGACAACTAGAACTAGCCACTTTCTAATTTTCATTATACCTACATAACCGTACGGAGAAAACAATAATATTGTTTTCACTGTATACCTACGCGCGAAACAAACTTTTTTTATTTCACTGATTGAAATAGGGAATGAAATAATAATGCGATAATATTAAAAATACAAACATACTAAACTGAAATAAATCATTCTGACGGGAAAAAGGATATTATGGCCAATAGATAGGAGTAACCCAAAGTTAAAAAACTTTATAAAAGTAAAAAATTAATGCTATATAATGAATGAACGAACATTGGACATTCCAGTAATGAACGAAGAATTGAACGAATGATGTTCGAAGGTCCAACATAAATTCATCATTCATTGTTTTATCTGCATTGTAGTGTTGTTGTGTTGTGCTTGTGAAGTTATTCAATCACTCATACCTACTTATAAACTCATTCTAATTCATTGTTTGTTAGTGTTTGGTAGTGCGGTGTACAATAATTATTATGAAATAAAATAACAGCCTCGCGGTGATTGATAAGTGAGAAGATAAGTCAAAAACCACCACAAATATGTTATCGTTCGAAGTTATTTCTTAACAAGTATTATGAATGAAATCTTTAAACATATTAGTATAAAGATTTCGCCTAATTATCAGGTGTCTATAATCATATGCTCAGTGAAAGTTGAACAATGATTTGTGAGTTTAAAACCACTGTAAAACAGTATTGGTTGTGTAGATGAAAATTAAATTATTAAAAAAATCTGTGATATTTCTTCTAAATAAATATATAAACATTAATATAATATTCAAAATAAACAATGACTGTCACATACACCGGCGAAGTGGCCACTTGTCGTGGATTCGGCACATTCCTTAAAGTTCTATACAAGTAAGTATTACATGTACTGTTACTGTAAAAATGTAAAAAAATCTGTACCGAGCTTTTTCCATTGTTTCTTATAAGATTGTATCCAACAAACATTGAAAATTGTATATTACTACAATTTTCACCTTATTATTAGTTGTAGGTTAAATAATATAATAATATCGAAATTAACTCTTATCAATGTCGTGGATATACCTCGATAATTATGTACTTGAAAATATTATTACTATTCGAAAATTATAGATATCATAAAATTAAGTGCCTACCAAATTCCTTAATTTTTAATTGAGTTGTTAGATTAATTATCGCAGCTGCATATATTTGGGGTAAAACTAAGATTCGTATGAATATTTATTTATTATTATATCAATGTCCCACGAAACTGTTTGACGAGGAATTCAAATAGTTTCACAGTCGCTGCAATTAATGTAGCTTATGAATATGAGCTCTTACAATACTTGAAATTAGTCGAGTTCCTCGTAAAACTGTATAAAAGAACATCTGGCGGACGAAAATTGTTGAAGTACCTAAGTTTAAACCAGGTTTGATGAGCCTTCTTACAAAAAAGTTGACATAATAGGGGTGACTATTAACCTACAAATGCCTACAACGCAGCTCAAAGCCGTTTACAATGCTGAGCCGATGATATTATTAAAGTACCGATGCATCGTGCCCTATGCCTCTAAGTTCTGATGGATTGACTTGTATGATTGCTTTGAGTGGCCGGTCGGACGATCGAGTGCCCGACCGCCCTAAGGCTCTTAGGCCCGATGAATCGTGCCGTCTGATCGCCGCCTCAGGTTTCTCAACTTTCTTACAAATTAATAAAATTCAGAGCTTACTAGGTGTCCAAAAACTTCTTTACTTTAAAATAGTTGGTCCATACTAGCCAATACTTGTTGAAAACAAGGATTGTTTATTGGACCACCAGCTCCTACGGTTTTACTTACGTAGTTTATAGCCTATGCTCGGCCAAGTTGTTTCGAAGCCTATTCAATTCGAGCAAACAAACAAATCTTCCCTCTGTTCTTACAAAATAATGATTAGTACAGATTGTATGTGACTGACTGATACCGACTGTCCCGATAGGACCCTGTGCGGCATTGTCGTGACATCTAAGTAGTTCCCAACCGGAAACTAAAATTATCCTAGCTTAATCTGCGTAAAAAAATATTACGCAGATTACAAGCAGCGAAAAAACGTACGATATTGTGGTGGATTAATAGAAGACTGTATTTATATGGTTAATGAAAAGGATTAGATCTAAGTAAAAATTAATATTAAGTTCGTCACCCTATCACCGTGTCACTTTTTTCACAGCAATAAAGCGAACAGGATGTCTAAGTAAAAAAAAAATACTTGGAAGAATCATAGACGATCTCAACGACTACACGATCTCAAATAAGTAATTCATGTCGTAAAATGGATGAAACCAGACGAGTTATTGAGACATAAAAATGCGACTTTATTAGTAAAACGAACGTATGAAGCTTAAATAAAAGGCAGTGATACAAAGTTCTTTTAAATATTAAAAGTTTCATCCCATCTGCATCCTTCATAACCTTAATTAGCTGTAATTACCTATTTTATTACAACTCTTTATTTATTGTCAGGATTAACTAATTGACACAGTAATAAGAGTAATACCTACCTAAATCTAGTAAGATTGTAATCAAGAACTTCTATTGATGCACTGAAAAATCTGAAGCTGTAATTGTAAAACAATGTGGACAGAAGACGGACGTAATGCGGCTTATTGGTACTTGTATTCATTGAACAAGTTTATTATTTAAAAAGTAGTATAGTGAAGTAGGAAACTTACACCCGGTTTCTGAAAGGCTGTCAACGCTAAAATTAACTAATCTCCTGTTAAATCTCTTGTCAAGTCATCTGATTGGTTGTTGATAATTCAGTCAACCAATCAGATGACTTGACAAGAGATTAAATTGATTTTAACATTGATCGGCCTTTCGGAAACCGGGTGTTACTATAAGTAAATAAACATAGTTAGTTGAGAACATTTCAGTAGTTTTCATTAAGTAAATAATGTAATATTAATATAATATGACATACCTAGTTACCTCATTTCGAGCTTGGGTACATTATGTATTAGAATTTCTTCAGTAATTCATTTGATACTAACAGTTTAGGTACAATTGCTACGTATTTTCGCACAGCTGTATATGATACTTTAAATTCGAGTCACAAAAATAAAATACGCAGTTAATATTTTTCAATATACCTTTCAAATTGCATACATACATAGTAAGTTAAATTAAAAACTATTCCAATTTGGTCTATTCCACTAAGATGCGTAACAAAATAAGATTGATGAAGCTCGTAAAATTTGGGTAATAATATTTTTTTATTTATTCTTTGAATACGTGTATGCCTTGTTAAGTAAGGCAAGTGTAAATATAATGTCATTTACCCTGTAACGGTCATGTGTTTGTCTCGTCAATGGAAAGTGCCATGGTGTTTCATAACTGAACTCTGACGCTCTGTTTACATGATCTTAATAACTGTATTATTTTGCGAATAGTAAGATTTATATCAAGAACGTATACTTATTAGCAGGCGCTACATATTTGGCTCTAGACATAAACCAAAAGAGATAATATGATCTAAAATGTTCATTTGTTTACAGTCATTATTATTCTTATCTGCCTAGAGATATTGCACAACTCAATGCGAATGCCTTAATTACAGTGATGTTCTGCGTATGTTTAATGATTGTATCATGAAGACCATGTGGGCCAATACCAAGGCTGACTCATCACCAGATCTATCTTACATAAGTACTTAGTCTACTCTAGTTTGTTAGTCATAACAAGATAAATTTGTCAGACACGACAAAATTTACGCAAAATGGCAAACAATACTTTTTTGGATGTAATTATGGGAAAAGATGGGGGTGAAAGTAGTTTTCATAAGGTCGTCGCTCTTGCAGATCGATACTTTGTCGCCCCACCGCTGCAAATACTGACTTCAGCTGAGAACAACACGCACAATATGACTTCGTCTCCTTCTCTCACATATAGTGTAAAAATTAGATTATCAATTACGATTTTACTAGAAAACTTGAGCGAACTTGTATGTAGTTTCAGTCGTTGTTCATCAGTTCCGCTCCGTTGCAAATGACTAATGTTTGCTTTAGTATTATACATTTTGTCATGTGTTACATGAAAAAACACCACTTTCATGACTGGCTCGACGAAGATTTGTGTTTGACTGGTAAATATAGCTATTCAAGCAGGTGGGGCAATTCTGTCATTGTAGGCTGCTTGGTTTCTTCATTTTGTATACATTTTGAAAGTGCAATCTTCATGTACACGGCTATTTTCAGACAATTACAAAAATACTAGCGACTAGTCTCGGCTTCGCAAGGGTGCAATGCTGAAAGTATTTTCTTCACTAATTAATACAAATACATATATTATGTCATTCTACATAAAACGTACCTCTTCAATCACTATCTATTTAAAAAATTGAATCAAAATCCGTTACGTAGTTTTAAAGATTTAAGCATACATAGAGATATAGGGACATAAAAATGACTTTGTTTTAATGGCTTTAAAGTGATATCGAATATTAGCTTTACTAAACATACGATTCTTCCGAAGAAACTATTAATAACTGCATTATGTTTTTCTTGTTCAAACTGGTACCTATTCTATTATGGTACTATCTCTAATCTTAATTGAAAATCATACATATTCACTAAATAATCTATCCAAGTCTTATTACATACATTAAACTAAGATCATATCGATAAAACAAAATGAGATTGTAAAACTTTATTAGAACTAGATGTAGTTTGTAGAATGAGATTACGTTTACCTATAATAATACTAGTGCAATGGTGATAAGTACTAATTTTCTTTAATCACTCTACATGTCTATCCAAAATACCGAATCAAAATCCCTTGCGCAGTTTAAAAAATTTAAGCATACATAGTGATATAGGGACGGATATAGGGACAGAAAAAGCGAAATAAGTTGAGATTTTTTAAATGTAACATTGATATAATTATTACGTGGACAGTCTTTTTGTTATAAATATTTACAGAAACTTATTTCGCCGAAAGG